ATAAAGGTGGGAGAAGAAGAGGGGGAGATATAGGGGAGAGGTGGGGCAGAGGTGAGGGAGAAGTGGGGGAGAGATGGGGGAGAGGTGGGGGAGAGGTGGGGGAGAGGTGGGGGAGAGATGGGGGAGATATGGGGGAGAGATGGGGGAGATATGGGGGAGATATGGGGGAGAGATGGGGGTGAGCTCGACCTGCCCAACAGGGAGGATGCCATGCGTCTGCGCCAGGCCAAAGATGACGAATGCGAACTCGCCGCCCTGCGAGAGCAGCAGGCCTAGCACAGACAGCGGCGGGATGAAGGCGCCGCCCGTGGACGAGACGTCGCCGTGGCCGCGAGACGAGCAGTGCCCGAGCGAAGCGCGGCGGCGGGCTTCATCTGGTTTGCGGTGCAGATAGCGGCGACGATCGCCGTCTTGGAGAGGTGCAGGGCGAGCGCGAGTCCTACGACAGCGGGCGCGGAGGCGAGGGCGAGGGGCAGGTCGATGGAGAAGCCGGTGGTCACGAAGAAGAGGCCTAAGCAGCAGACCAGCAGCGAGCTGGTCAGTGGGGGGGGGCAGGTCGATGGAGAAGCCGGTGGTCACGAAGAAGAGGCCTAAGCAGCAGACCAGCAGCGAGCTGGTCAGTGGGGGGGGCAGGTCGATGGAGAAGCCGGTGGTCACGAAGAAGAGGCCTAAGCAGCAGACCAGCAGCGAGCTGGTCAGTGGGGGGGGCAGGTCGATGGAGAAGCCGGTGGTCACGAAGAAGAGGCCTAAGCAGCAGACCAGCAGCGAGCTGGTCAGTGGGGGGGGGCAGGTCGATGGAGAAGCCGGTGGTCACGAAGAAGAGGCCTAAGCAGCAGACCAGCAGCGAGCTGGTCAGTGGGGGGGGGCAGGTCGATGGAGAAGCCGGTGGGCCATGAACAACGAGGCCGAGGAGGAGGCCGCGGAAGGGGGCGATGTCCGCCTCGATCTGGTACCGGTACTTCGACTCGGCCAGCAGCACCCCGGCGAGGAACGCGCCTTCAGGCAGAGCTCCGAGAGGGCATCCGAGAGGGCGTTCGAGACAGGCGCGGCGGTTCGCCGGCAAGGACGGCGCCGAGGGTGTCGGACAAGCCCAGCGCTTGCGTGAAGGCTGACATCGAGAGCACCGTCAGCAGCGTGATTGCGAGGAAGGCGGTCTGGTCGCGCGCCTGGCAGCGGCAGCAATGGCAGATCAGAGGGAGGGAAGAGGAGAGGTGCACGCGCGTAGGAGCAGGAGGCGGAGGGAGGGAGGGAGGTAGGTAGGTGGGTAGGTAGGTGTTACCTCACACCGTCTACTGCAGAGACAAGGAGGGCCCACAGCACACACACCAAGAGTACATGTGCTGCACCGGACATCAGAGGGCCAAGGGTTGGATCAAGCAGCGGGAAGGGGACTGAGCTGGAGGGGGGCTGGGAGGCTGTGGACATCACGATGAACGCTGACGGTGACGGCGGCAAGAAGGCGGTCTGGTCGCGCGCCGACGCGACGAGCTGAAAAACGCGCTGGAGCAGCAGCCGCCCGGTGACAAAGATGATTGCGAGGGCCGAGGCGCTCTTGATAGCGGCGACGCGAAGGGCGGCGCCGAGGGCTGCGCCGGATGAGCCACCGAGAAGCGGCGTGACGACGAGGAGGGGGACGACGGCGATGTCCTGGAAGAGCAAGATGCCGGAGGTGGGGGGGTGAGATGTGGGGGAGATGTGGGGGAGATATATACGGCGATGTCCTGGAAGAGCAAGATGCCGAAGGAGGCGCGGCCGAAGCGGGTGGCGAGCTCCCCCTTCTCCGACAGCAGCTGGATCACGAAGGCCGAGGAGGAGAGCGCGAGGCCGCCGCCCAAGACGACGGCCGCCGGCCCCGAGGCGCTGAACGCGGTGGCGACGGCGCCGAAGACCAGAGAGGTGAGCGCGAACTGTGCGCCCCCGAGCCGAAAGGCGTCGCGCCCCACCGACTTTAGCCTAGCACACAGCGCGAGTGCGCTGCTCATCTTGAGGTCATCTCGGCTCATCTCGAGGTCATCTCGCGTCATCTCGAGGTCAGCTCAAGGTGAACTCGAGGTCAGCTCAAGGTCATCTCGCGTCATCTCGGGTCATCTCGAGGTCATCTCGAGGTCATCTCGAGGTCATCTCGAGGTCATCTCGGGTCACCTCGGGTCATCCCTAGGTCATCTCGGGGCCATCTCGGGGTCATCTCGAGGTCATCTCGGGTCACCTCGGGTCATCCCCAGGTCATCTCGGGGCCATCTCGGGGTCATCTCGGGTCATCCCTAGGTCATCTCGGGGTCATCCCTAGGTCATCTCGGGGCAATCTCGGGGAATCTGGAGCCTCTCCAACTCGAGCTCCAGCCCCATCTCGAAGAGGAAGAAGACGACGCCGAACTCCGCGAGCCTGCGGCGGGAGGGGAGGGGAGGAGAGGAGAGGGGAGGGGAGGGAGGGGGGGGGAGTGCCCCTGGCGCCCCGTGCGTGTGTGTGCTCAATGAGTGCTCAAGTGTGTGAGCACAGTGCACGCGCGCAGTGAGTCCGTGCAGTGCGGGCAGTGGGCGTCTTCCCCGTCTTGCCCGTCTAGCGCGGCGAGCTTGGTCGTGGTGGCGACATCCGACACAACGCCGAGGCCGGTCGGGCCGAGGAGGATGCCTAAGCCAGAAACGCATTCGGACAACAGGAAGAGAAGTGGCGCGCGGGCCGGTCCCGGCCGAGGAGGATGCCGGCGAAGAGGAAGCCGAGGACGGGCGAGAGGTTGAGGGTGCCCATGATCGGCGTCACCAGCGCGGCGGTTGCGAGGAGCACCATCGTATCCCGCTCTGCCGGCGAGGCGTGCTCGCGCACCTAGTTCAATTCACTCGCTCCCTCGCTCACTCATCGTGCCCCGCGCTCTGCCGGGCAAGCGTGCTCCCGCACCTCCCGCCACGTCTGCGCCACCGCGCTGGCGCTGCGCCCCACCAAGCCGCTCGGCGCTTCCGCCGTCCTCGCAAGAGCGGTGGCGGCGGCAGAGGTGCGGCCGCCGCCGCCGCCGAAGCGAACCCTCACCCGCTCCTGTGAGAGGAGGTGATGTTTGAGCAGAGTCGTGGTGTCGTGCAGTGTAGTGCACGTCTAGTGCCGTCTCGGCGGTCTCTCGGCGGCCTCTCGGCGACCTCTCGATCTCTCGGCTGTACCTCGGCGCCGCGAGATTGAACGAGCCGCTGCATGGTGGAGGGTGGAGCTCCGCCGCCCGCCGGCTCGGCCAGCCGGTCCGCGAGCGGGCCGCGACTCGTGCACGCCATCAGCAGCACCGCCACGAGCGCCACACGTGCACTCGCCGCGCTGCGGGAGGCCGCCGCCGCCATCGCGCTAAGCCACCCGCCCGCCCGCTCGAGCTGCAGTAGCCAGCGGCGGCGAAGCCGTGCCGCTCGGACTGCAGCCGCTCTGCTGGGCCACCCGCGTGGCCCCAGTCCCCGCGGCCGCCCACCCCAGTCTGGTGGATGCTCTGCAGCGTCGCCTTTGCTGCTGACGCCGCCTGCGCCGCTGCACAAAAGCGGACCCGCGGTGCGGAGCGGCGGCGGCGCAAAGCGGTGAGCGGGCGGCGAGAGCGATCGCGTGGCCGGCGTCGCCAGCGCAGCCGCTCGCGAGGCCACCAGTAGAATAGTCGCGAGCCTCAGCCGCCGCCTCGCGGCCATCGCCGCGTCTCGTCGGTGGCGAGGCTAACAGCTCGCGAAAAAAGAATTTCCGCGCTACACTCTTCGGATCGCTGGTCGAGCGACCCGGGGGATGCCCCGCGCGCCTGACCCAGGCGCGAAAAACGAATCTGTGAGGCGAGGCCGCTCACGTGGCCCGATGGGGAGGAGTGGGGCGGACTACGGGGATCGGCTTCTTACACAGCCCTTCCCTGCAGCGAGTCCCCTCCAACCCACCCGCGCTAGGTCCTGGGTGACGTAGGGGAAACCCGCCCGACGACCTCGGGTGAGTGAGTGAGTATTCTTGATACGAAACCACGACGACACACACCAGTCGACTCGCATCGGTTGCCTCCATGAACCGCGGAGCTATTCTCGCGTCCACACCACACCTGGCTCCAACGTGGACACGCCCATAGCTGGGGACACTACTAGGTCACGCATGGCATCACAGAAGTTTTGTCTCTGGGCCCCGAAAGGCATCTCTAGCAGTGACTGTCGTTACGCATGCCCCCTCCCATCCTGGGCGCATGCGCCTCACGTCTCGCCAGAGCATAAGCCCTTGGCGTGTGGCGAGACGAGTTTTTCGCCATCGCAGCGAGCAGCAAGCCGCCCGCCGCAAACAGCCGGAGGCATCGCCACGGCACTGGCTGCGCCGCGATCCCGCACCCGTCGACGAAGCTCCCCCCGCGGAAGACCGCGCGTAGCGACGCCTTGTCGATCGAGATGAGCGCGCCTAAAGCTCGCCCACCTACTGCCTCTGAGAGTTGGTTACTGAGTGGGATCGGCTCCCCCCCTTGGGATCGAAGCTTCCACGACCTCACACCCAATTAGGTGCCCTGTAGGCTTGGCTGCAAAGGGATTTTTCGCCTTTTGTTTTTTTATTCAGGGTTTTGCAACTGATTCCGTTTGCAACCGGAATCAAGAAAAGAAACGACCGCCAAAGCAGGCGGCGTCTCGTGCTCGACCAGGATCGCCGTCCCGGCGCGAGAATGCAGCCGGGCTTGCCGTCGTGCAGCCCTTTTTGCTTCGGCTCGTCGTCAGCGACGCGCCAGTCCTGGCGCAGCCGCCCCGCCGTGCGGTCCACGGCCTTGCAGCCCGTCGACGCGCCCGACGACGTGACCGCGGCCGAGATGGAGGCCTTCATGGACCACATCCAGCCGAGCTTGTACCAGCCGCCCGACGACAGCGACATCGCCCATGAGTTCACGGCGTGGCTGGCGGCGCGCCGCGAGACGTTGCGGACCGCCGCCGGTGCAGGCCGCCCTCGCGACTCGCAGGCCGACGTCGCCGCACCCGACGCCGCCGGCGGCGAGGAGTCGCCCGACAACGAGACGGGGCGCGCGACTCCGCCCGCACCTGCGCCGGCGGCGGCGTCCGGCCGCCGGCGCCGGCGCAAGCCGCTCGCCGGCGGCGGCGGCGAGAAGGAGAACGCGGACGTCGAGATGGACGCGCTCATGGTCGAGCGGCCCCGGCCTGCGCAGACGGAGCAGCGCTGGCGCGCCGTCCTTGCCGCGCGCCACGAGGATTACGACCGGGAGCTCGAGAAGGACAAGCCGGAGCGGCCGTGGCACAGGGTGCCACACTTCCAGGGCGACGTCGAGGCGGAGTGCAAGCTGTGGGCAAGGGTCGTGCGTGCGCTCGGCGAGGCATACGCGCGTCACCACTGGGGCATCGAGACCATCGAGTTTGACCCCAAGCGACCCGGGCAAGCCAAAACCGCGCGCGCCACGCGCCACAAGAGGCTGCGGGAGGCGGCGAAGCGGGCGGAGAGCAAGGCTGCGGCTGCCGCCGCCGCCACCGCGACGCCGTCGCCCGCCGCCGCCGCCGCGGCGGCGGCGGAGGCCTCGGAGGGCGCGGCGGCGGAGGAGGAGCTGATCGCGGTGCGACGAGCGCAGGCAGAAAAGACGGCTGCACGGCTGTTCGAGCAGCTGGAGGACGGCGAGGAGGAGGGGGAGGGGGAGGCGGCTCGCGAGGCGTCAGCGCGCACGCTCTCCATCGCCACTGATGCCTTGCTGGGCGTTCTCGACGCGGCCGACGGAGGCACCGTCGAGACGAAGGACGCGTACCAAACGGCGGACAAGCCGCTGGGCGAGGGGGAGGCGACGGAGGCGGTCGAGAAGGACAACATCACCATCGCCTTCAACAGGACCATCGTCCGCGAGGTGCGGCGGCTCCTGCAGACGTACGGCGGCGATCACAGGCCGCCGAGCATGGGCGCTGAGATGCACTACGAGCTCGCTGCGATGGAGGGCCCGTACGCTGACCCGAACGCCTTCTCGTGCGACCCGGACTCGCTGTCCACGCAACAGCTCGACGCGCGTTTGCTACTGTGGTACCGGCAGTGCCTCCCCAAGCCGCCGCAATGGCGCGCCGACCCAAAGCTCAAGCAGCAGCCCTGGCGCGGCGCCGAGGGGCAGGAGCTGCTGCTGCCGCAGTGCTGGCCGTCGCATTGGCTGACGCGCGCGCGGCTGCTCGGCGCGCGGCGCGGCGTCGCGCTGACGCTGCGCGAGGCGGACGCAGAGGCGCACGGCGAGGCGCCGCACGCGCCGCAGCTCGTCGCGGACGCAAAGTTCGCGTTCGAGGTGGCGCTGCGCGAGCAGCAGCCCGCAGGCGCTCTCTATGAGAGCTACCGCCGCCTAGCGGCGGCTCTCGCGCACTCGCGGCGCACTCGCGCGGGGCTCGCGCTCCGCCACCTGGCCCTTTGCCCGGCGTGCAGCGACGCCCTCTGCTTCCCGGCGCAGCACCTCCCGGCCGTGACGCGCTACACGCTGCCGCCCGTGGTGCAGCGCGCCGGCTGCAGCGATTGCGACTACTTGGCGATGCGGCGCATGCTCGCCGCCCGCACGTCGTCGTACAACGAGTGCACCGCGAAGGACGCGGCGGAGTGGCTGCGCGGGCTCGAGCAGGCTGACGCCGTCAAGCACGCGTGGGGCGTCGTCGTCGTCGACGCCATCAACCGCCCGCCCCACGCGGCGACGCGGCTCGCCATCATGGAGGGCACGTTCGACCACGACTCCTTTGCCGCGTTCCTGCGGGCGACGCCCGGCGTGGCCGTGCCCTACTGTGGGGCGCATGGGCCGCCGCGGTCCGCGGCGGACGATGCGCCGATGCCGGGCGCGCCACCGGGCGCGCCGATGCCGGGCGCGCCGATGACGGACGCGCCAATCCCGGGCGAGCCGCCGGCCCCGGCGGCGGCGGAGGATGCGCCGATGCCGGGCGGCGGGCAGGACGCGCACCGTAACGGCTGCGCGTGCCCCGGGGGCTGCCTGGGCGGCCCCTCGTTCCTCCCGTTGGATCCGTGCTGCGAGTGCGAGGAGTGAGTCTCGTCGTCGCTTCCCACACTGCGCGGCGTGTGGGTGGGGGTCTCTGTTGATCACTGTACTGTACTCTCGCTCTCTCTCTCGCTCGCTCGCTCTCTCGCTCGCTCGCTCGCTCTCTCTCTCTCTCTCTCTCTCTCTCTCTCTCTCTCTCTCTGTGTGTGTGTGTGTGTGTGTGTGTGTGTGTGTGTGTGTGTGTGTGTGTGTGTGTGTGTGAGTGTGTGTGAGTGCGTGTCTCTCTGAGCTAATTCCTCTCCCGCCCGATCCTTGCTGCTTGCTGCGAGTGTCGGGGAGCGTGTGCGACCAGGGGAGTGAGTCTCGTCGTCGTGTCGGGGCGTAGCTGCTTTTTGGAAACATGTTTCTACTCGTTGGACCGGAGATGGGGGGGCAGGTGCACACCCCCTGCGCTGCTCAACCTCTGAGATGTTACTCCAGACACCGTACCGCCGTGTCTGTATCTCCCAACATCTCCCGGTCCCGCTACCCGCAGCTCAAAGCGACGTCTCCCCTAATCTCCACGGCACCCACCGCCCGCGCACACTACTCGCCGACGACTCGAGAGTCGCGCGCACGCACAACCCAGCCGTCGAGCAAGCGGGCATGACCAGAGGCGCCCGCGGAGGGACAACCGGGATCGCCCTCGCCCGAGCCAGAGCCAGCCCTGGCCCCTGGCCGCGCGCGCGGCCTTCTTTCTGGCCCGCATCCACCGCAGCGGCGGCCGCCGCTGCGAAGACTGCGGCCGCGCGACGCCTCCACGAGCATACGATCGAGCGCCCGGAGGGGCTCGGGCTGAGTGCCGTCGCGAGACCTCGGCACGCCTGCGCACGCCTGCGCACGCGGCAGAGCGACAGCGGCACCACCCTCGTCGGGCGCCGACGAAGCGTGCTCGCGGGTCGCCGCTCCGTCGACCGACGGCCGAGACACTTGCTCCGACGCCGCCCCGCCCCCGCCCCGCCGGTCCGGCACCGATATCTCGGAGGACGACCTAAGGAAGAGCGTGGCGGCGCGTCG